AAAAACGGGGGGAGGGGGGGAGAGAAGAGTAAGAACGATTTATCATTAACTCCGTGAAAATTGATATTCGAACGAAAAGGGGGAATAAGATGAAGCGAAATAGAGACGAAAGAGAGGGATGGAAGAATCGGTACGTATTTGATACCAGAGGAAAAGAAAACGGGAACGGGAAATTCTTTCGCACGACATTTACACACTCCACCCGATCACTTTAGTGCCATATTGATATCCCATCAGCCACACTTGTTGACGTTTTGACGGTAGAACGTGTTGTTAAAGATGTGTATATTCTGCGATTATGCAGGCTGTTTTGAATAAAGTTGGAATACGTTTATTTCTCATTACGCATATATTAAATCGTTACAAAGTATTATGAAACACACCTGTATATGCTTATTTAGTTTCCGCAGTGTACAAAGAATCGTTTTACAACTGTCGAGGGGATTTTAACGTCGATTACCACGATGACGAGATAGAGCTTATATCTGCATGTATATGTATATACACACGCGTGCATGGGTGTGCATATATATACGCATAGGCGGATATGTATCGATTGCAAACTCTAAGTTCGAACTTCTTGGTTTGCGAATGATATATACGTATATATATACTTGGAAGGAAGAGAGATTTTGTAAAAAATGCAACAGTTTCTTCATCGAGAGCAATGCGTTTCGTTCCCAAATTGTTGTTGCCGTTGTTGAACCGACGGAAATGTCGTCCATTTTGTTTTCCCCCCTGTAGATTGTCGATTATACGCTTAACGCGAGACCCAGCGTGGAAAACGAAGGAAAGAAAAGCATTTGGTGTGTGGAAACGAGCGTAGAACGGGAGAGGAAAGTGTCCAGGCTAAATCAGACGGGCCTATGAGATCGTTTCTTTTTTTTCGATAAAATGCACAAATTCTGTCGGGCTTTCCTTTCGAGCCTTCTCGAACCATTGTTTCCATAAGAAACGTTGCATTTGGACGCTTTAAGAATGTTATATTCTCGGAAGATTCTTTTTTACTGCCACTTTTTGCAATCGCTTCGATCGTTCTGAACGATAGAGCGGATGAACAATAGCGCGAGGAAGCATAGCAGACGTACAGAAATTCATTGTAAAATGTAAACGTTACATTAAGAAGTATTAATATATTAAGACATGCGATGAGGAAGGTCGCGAGGGGTACGGGGGTGAATAGAGTTGAGCAAGCGATAATAACCGATTGCATTGCATCGATCGACAATAGAACAGAGTTCATTTCTTGTAGGAAAGAAACGAGGAACAAAGCTTCTTCGAAACTGAATCGTCTCGAACGTTTCGACTTCTTCTTCGCCAGATGTTTCCCATTTTCCGCACGGCTATATCGCGCGCGAGATTTCCCTAACGCTCTGCACGTTGCCATTTTGTATACAGCCATGTCTCGTGTTTCCAACGCTATCCGCGAAATCGATCGGTTCGCGATATTTTTTTTTTTCCTTTTTTTTTTTTTGTTCCTTTTCTTCCTTGTTTTCTTTTTTTTTCTTTTCTTCTTCTTCGACACTTCGATTAGAGCTTCGTCCCGCGTTTTTCCAATCTCATCGGACTTTTAGGCTATCACCGGGTAACACCTGCATTGCAATGCCCTTGAACGAGCGCAGGGGGTACGCAAACGAAAAGAGGAGGATAAATACAAAGTGAAAATAATGAAAAAAAAAAAAAAAAAAAAAAAAAAATAGAGAAAATAAAAGGGGGAAAAAATATGAAGTAACAAATGAAAAGAAAATAACACGTGGCTGTAAATATTTTATATAAAAAAGAAGATATATATAGAAAGAGAGAGATCTATCTATTATAGGGATACGCGTGGAATTACAAACGAAAAGAGGCTTTTATTTTTGTCTAAAAAATAAAGGATGGACGATAATCGAGTATAGCGAGACGAGAATTACAATTGGACGAGTTCAAAGAAAAAAATATCCTGACATTAGTCGATTTTAGTGCATAGTATTTACCGATAAAGTATTAAATGTCGCGCCATTGACACGCAATACAAATTTCGATCAGCCCGCACTGTGTCTTCTTCTGCATAAATAAGCGGACGCTAAATTCGCAAATTTCCGGTATCGTCGTACAATTCGAATCATACTCTGCATACGAAGTTAGGCAAAAAAAGGAAAACAAAGAAAACTATATATATATATGTATACATATATATATACGTATAAATTTAAGAAAAGTGAAGCTTTTTCTCCGCGTACATAGGAAAACAGAGAACGATCCTTAGCGTATTCGAAATAGCAATGCATACCGATAACCAAATCTGTAAAATATAGAAAAATGCTAAAATCTCATCGCGGATAACCGAATGTCTTAAGGAAACAAAATACCGTTCAGGATATCTAGCCGCAGAGAGCGAGCGTGTAATCTACGTGGAGAATTTATCCGAGACACACGAAAGGAGGGGGAAAAAAGGAAAAGGAAAAAAAAGGAGAACAAAAACGAAAACGAACAGAGGTGGGGATGTAATAAGAGAGGATATTTAAACGACTAGGGAAACGTTCGTTAACGCGTAATTAAGAGGGTTGTACAAAAGTGTATGTAACGTTATTTTATCGGAAGCGAGACTTAGAGTTAGACTGTTAATAACACGGTATATTATTTTGGGTAAGCATATGTAAAACAAGAAAATGGCGAAAAAAAAGGAAAAATATGCAGATATAACGAAGTATAATAACGAAGAACTTGGACGAGAGGCCGTTATTGTTGAGAGGTAGAAGTAGCACATAGCAGCTCGGGGATTATAATGATGAGGAAGATGAGGAAAAAAAAAAACTATTAAGTACCTTGTTGAGTATAAGTAGATTAATAATCGCTAAGTCGCGAAGGGAAGATCGGTGCACCGCGATGGTGCACGTGTGCACATTCATGTTTCATTAACTGACCTATCATTTCACGCGCGCACACACGTACAGACACCCTCATACGACACGCCCATACACGTACAGAGGAACATCGTACACTTGTATAACGCGAAATTGTTGCATGCCTATACACGCAAAAATGAAAGATCGAAAAAGAAAAAAAAATTACTATGGAAATATAATTATAGAGGGTTTCACGCGGAAACGCAGTGCCGCGCGTTGTGCTTTACCTTTATAAGGGTCGTATCCGAATTACGATGCCGGTTACATTAGATGGAATAAAATAGCATTATCTTCCACGAATATTTCGAATTTCAAGAGCAGCTGGCTGCGAAAAAAGAAAGGTACCATTGAGAGAATCGTTCGTCATTGATGGAACACGATCACAAGTATTGTACCTTACATTCCTTTGGCTATAAAGTAATAGTAAGAACACGACGACCGTGTGCACCGTGCGCTTTATGTATCGGGATCGTCGAACATCGGAAACGGAGAAAGAAAAATCGAAGAAAAAGAAAAAGAAAAGAGAATAGAAAGAAAGAAAAAAAAACGAACGAGATGGATGGAAAAATGAAAGAGAAGGTGGAAAATCGGACGGCATTCGATCGATTCGGTGATAATCAGGGGGCGGAAGGAAAAAGGAACGGAAAAAAATGAAAAAAAAAATAAATAAATAAATAAATAAAAAAAGATACATAGATCCCTTTCGATTCGGTTTATCACGTGTGCTTCGAGCAATTTGATTAACGCACGCGCTACACGGTCGATCATTCGTTTCGTCTTTTTTTTTTCTTGTTTGTTCATTTCGTCAGGATATATATATATATATTAGAAAGAGGAAACGGTGCATTAAGAGAGAGAGCAGCGAGTGAAATTGTATTTTTTAATATATATCTGTATGTGTGTATATATATCCAGAGGTCTCGCCTCCAGAAAAAGGGTATTGCGATTCAGATTCGCAAGAAAAATAGATTTAATTACCGAGACTTTAATATTATTACTATGGTTATTATTATTATGATTATTCATATTTTTATTATTACTGCGAAGAGTATATATAGCGTGTTCTCTTGACATGAAAAATTATATATGTATATATATATATATACACATAAATATATACGTAGGTATATATATGTATGTATATATATGTCTTGCATATACATATATGTATATAGATATATAGATACATATATACGCGCGTATGGATTATACATGTGTATAGATATATGTATATATATATATACACACACACACACACACACACACACAAACACACAACACACACACACACTTATAGGCGAGTAAGACTCTGAACGGATAAGAAAAAGAAAATGAAACTTACAGGGCTGTTAATTATCGAGAATCGTCTAAGCGATATGTTAGGAAAGGGATATGCACGTGTTTGGACACGTGTGTCGATGCGCATCGATTGTCCTTGAAAAATGGATCGTAATCGTGATCCCGACCGTAACATTGTTTTGTCACAGTCTTTTTCCACGAAAAAAAAAAAAAAAAAAAAAAAAAGAAACGAAAGTATGAAACCTCGAGAAAAAAAAAAGAAAGGAAATAAATAAATAAATAGGGGGAACGTCGCGTGTAGCTCTTCTGCATATATCGATACGATTATCGAAAGTGAACAAATAGGGAAACAGAGAGGGAACTAAGCTTACGACAAGACACACACTTGTCCCTGTATTTCACTACTTCCTTCGAACAAACGAAACGTTATATTGTATCGAGCACAAAAAGCTGCGTTAATTCTTTTTTTTTTTCTTTTTTTTTTTGGTATCTTCTGCAATCCCACAATCGATTTGTATTTTCGCGCGAACGATTTTCTTTCTTCGATCGTTGGCCACCTCGGATCATAACCTATAAAACACGCTCTGCCTTTTTCAAATTTATCAAAACCGAGCGATTTGGAAATGTCTTGATCTTCTTTTTTTTTTTTAGACGGATAAGTCGCCAATTTGAAAACGAAACGAGTAGCAAAATTTTCGACGAATCGTCGAGCTCCTCTCGACTCGAATCGA